GGGACGATTGTCGAATGTGGTCTTGCCCGGCCTCCTCCGCAGAAGAAAACCTGGTAATAATGGGGGGGCGCTCACCGATCGTTCTTACGGAACTCACTCGTTCCGTTGTGCCTTACGGGCTCTCCCTCGAGCCCAATCAGCAGCCGTGCAGCGGCGCATGATATATAGGCAGTATGTTATTACCGACAAAGGCAAGGGAGACTGAAATGGCCATTACTGGTTTATTAGCCGTCGTCAGCCAGTCATACCCAACCCCGAAGTGTGGAACACCCGAGGCTCGAACTCGCGAGCTGTTAATTAGAAGTCTACGCCTCTCGTGGCCCAGTGGTTAGAGGCGTGGACTTCTAACTAACAGGTCGCGAGTTGGAGCCTCGGGTGTTCCACACTTCGGGGTTGGGTATGACTGGCTGACGACGGCTAATAATCCAGAAATGGCCATTCCAGTCTCCCTTGTCTTTGTCGGTAATGCCATTCTGCCTATAAAACCTGGTAAAGATAGCTTGTGTCCTCCCCCGGGCAGGACACGTGAATAGGAACTCCCGTAATGAAGGTGACTTTGTGACAAATTCCAGGAAAATAAGGGTTAGGTTTAGGGCTACGCATAGAGGTTTTGGATTAGCGCTTGGGTTGGAAAACAGGGATGGGTAATCATCCTGGTAATTTGCGCAATGCTTTTCGTGTTACGGCGAGGGGGAGGTGAACACATACGAAAACCGGGACAGTACAGCTGAGTTCAAGGGCAAAACTAAGGACTCAGTCCCAGCCAAAACTCCCAAGCTCAGTAAACCTGAACCCAAAGACAAACTTGCCGAGGTCGCCGCCAACATGAACCTAAAGGAAATAAGAACTGACCGTTCCAGTCTCTACTGTCTTTGTCGCTAATGCTATTCCGCCAGAAAAAAACTGCCAAATCTGCGGCAGTTACCAAGTGAATTTCCTTCTGGCAAACTCCGTGTCTGAGATCCTTCCCAGTCTCCTGAAGTTACACGCTCAGTAAGGACTTCCTTCGGATAATCGAGTCGGAGTCATCGAGATAATCTTCGCAGCCCACCAACTGTAGGAAAACGCTGGTAAGTAGGACCTGCTCCCAACATCACCTTTGTGAATCACACAAAGTCCGTCGGTGCCGCGAACAGAGACGGATTCTGGGGGATATTTTTTTTAGTTTCAACTGCATCGATCCGCTAAAGATGGTCAGACAACTTCACAGCAGCATGTGCGGACGCGTCACATGCAGTGAGCCAAGACCACAGACCTTCGCAATGACAAATTGACTGAGACGAGAGTGCGTACTAACCCCGGCTGGCATCTGCCCCACGGTCTCGGCAACGCTGATGGATGGTTGCCGAGAGAACTGAATATCAACTATCAAACCAACAGAAAACTAATGAACAACTCTCGCATGCAAGCTGCCACAAATACCTCCGGGTTCAGTGTATATGGCCCTCTCTTTGCCAACGGCTGGATATGAAAAAGTACGACTGAAGCAGACATTCTGCGAAGTTTGGGCCCTTTCGTTTCCAGATTCGCGAGCACGGAAAAGAAAAAAAACTTTATCTGACCGAAGTTTTGGATTCATGCACCAACCCATCGCCTAAGGCACCAACAAAAAGGATGGTGGAAACCATCAGCCGCCTCATCACGAGGTATGGGGTCGTACGCAGACCGGAGGCAACCGCCAGCCGGCAAGTGATGAGCTCGACGGATCGCTACTTTGGCAGAAAACGTCTGGAATCGTTTGCTGCAGTTGCGGGCAAGACAACCGCGTCGGAGGCTGATGACTGGATACGTAGCAGTAATGAGGAGGAATGATGCCAACTTTCCAGTCGCAGCTCATTCAGTGGAACCCGTCTGCCGCATCAAGTTCGATGAGGGCAGAATTCTCGTTGAGTGACAACCGGGTGGGCTGCCTCAGTCATGATTTTGGTGCACAATCTGTCAGAAAAGTGCAATCACCTTCCCCCACCACATTAAGCCCTCAAAGTCTGCCTGGGCACAGTTATTAGTCACCCTAGGGTCCACAGACAAACACTACTCCGGTGGCAGTGTCGGTGGGTCAAATTGCCGAGTCGATATCACGCCAACAACCGACATCGTCACCACCACCACCACCACCACCACCACCACCACCACCACCACCACCACCACCACCACCACCACCACCACCACCACTTATCCCTCATACCGCGAAGCTTTCCGACGTCGTAATACAGACGAACTGCTGTGTCTGCGTGCGGCCGACGCTGGGCCGAGGTTCCAGACAATGAAAGCCATTGCCTGTTGAAGCTAGCGAACCAAAACTCATGCGGCCCATAACTCGCGTAACGGTTGCCTCTTGAGAGGACTTTAGCCTCACCAAACTAGAAGACGTGACCAGATCCTGTCGATCAGACTGTGATTCGAGAATTTGTGTCATTCCTCCCTGCTGAGGATCTATTATCGGCTACCCATTTCCGCGGCCGATACGTACGCAACTACACTACACCGCACTAACATAATTCTTGTCTAGACGATCGGGCGTGCTTCCTATCAGTAAATACATAAAAGGCGTCCGGAAGACGAAGATGCGATCACCGAAACAAGAAATTTATTGGCCTGACGTTTCGGATTCTCACTCGAATCCATCATCAGGAACATTCGCAGATAAAACGCGTCTTCACGCATACACCGGTGATCATTTTCCACTTGCAATTTACACGTCCGGGCCTTGTGCGCAAGTAGTCACAGAGATTCCAGTTGTTAATGGCAGTCTCAGGCAATCTGTCACAACGCTATGCAAGTCACTCCTCGGACGGATGTAAAGCAGGACTCGCCGTTCTTCGAGGATATGCGAGGCAATTAAGAAATAAACACGTCGAAACACCGAGATCGACACTTCTTCTCCGTAGGAAGGAACCATGGCAATACAAGCCTAGTCAATGAGGCTCGTTTGGAAAGTTCATGAAGACGCACTAAGCAACGAATCCGCCCACGAGGTTATCCGTCGCTCTGGTGCACTCATCTAAGTGGACTTCTCCGAACTTGCAGGATGTTGCGCTTACTTCCTTGACCCCTCCGAGCCTACCATCCTTCGGAGGATTTAATTCTGGCTAGCTCCCGCAGGGTTGGTCACAGTCGGTACACGTGCACATGGCAAAGCTGCTTCGTCTGACCATCGGGTCTCTATGCGCAGGACAGTGGAATGACACTCGTCGAAGGCTAGTCGTGAAATAAGCTCTTGGACCTGACAAAACACTAGGGGAACACGTAGTCGCAGGGCATTCAATCATGGACAGGCGTTGATGTTGCGAACCGATTGTCTGTAAAAAAAAAGCCACAGACTATATCGATGTTGCATGGCCGATGTTACCCATCCCCCAATTCTGCGCGGCACTACCCGCCGTCTCACACAATCCGGTAACACGAAACTAGCATGCTAGACGGGTGAGTGGAAACTACCACCCTCAAAGCAAGAAAACCTGTCCAAAAAACGCTGCTTCACACAACCGCTACGTGACAGAAATCTTGGTCGAGGTAGAACTATCCTCCATGCGTTCCATTTGAACTTGCCAGAGCCCAGTGACATTAAAGGCCACTAGCATGAGCCGAACGCCAACTGCCACATATTTAGGCAACTTAAGGTGGTCGGAGATGTGCCAACTGAAACTGTAATAAGGAGAGGAGTACCTGGAAGGCAGCAACCAAATGAAAGACCAAGCAAGTGCATGGTTTCCAGTACAACGCCCAAGAGACTTGGGTAAAAGTCAACCGAGAACAAGCGAGATTACATTGGAATAGACTAAGTACTAGTTGATGACTCTTGGCATTCAATGCACTCGGTTGTACGCAGCCTCACTGGCTGAAGCAGTTGGGGCTTCGTGAGTTGTGGAAGATAGATGTCGAAACTGCATAGCCGAAGGCAGGCTCATGAGGTAAGCTGGGGCTGCAACGGAGGCACTGGCACGTTGAATGAGGAGATGCAGGACTCGCACACAGTCGTTAGGCAGGCTTTGTGTTGTCCTGCAGCCGAACATCAACCCGGAAAGTCAAAAATTTTGAGAAACGCTTTTAGCCGGCTTTCTGAAGCGAACCCACACGGTTCGGAGTTTGGGGCCGGTTCCCGTTCAGGCTGCCGAAGCTACGTACCGAGGAAATCCATCGGCAGTTTGACTCCTGAGGCTTCCTGATGCTGATAAACACACAGTTAGACCGTCATTGTCGACGATGTCTACCGTGTGCTCCACAGCAGGGTGAGGGCAGGGACAGCGACTTTCGCGTGATTTATAGTGAATGTAGACTTGCGCAGCATCTACCGCACTCCCTCCTCCCCCACCTGGACCTGGTGTCAAGACAGAGTCAAGGAGACTGGAGGCGGGGGAGGGCGCAGGTTAATGGTACGGTCGAGCCCGCACCTTGGCGCTCCATTCCACACACCCCCTGGTCCACACAATAAATGACCAGGCTTTTGACTAACAACAGCAATGGGGAGGGGACGGCAGGGGTCCCAGTATGCGCGACGTCTGCCGGCGGCGGGGTTTGCCACCGCAGCCCGAAATGTTGGCATTTGTTATGGTGTGCAATTCCGATAACGCCTGTCAGAATCCGATATGCCCCCCCCCCCCTGTTGGTCCAGCGCATCTACCAAGTGGCCCGTTTGGGGGTACCTGCTAATAGACACCAAGGCAGCACATGCACCAGCTTTGGCCTAGCACTGTGGGGAGAGGAAAAGGCTAAGCAGTGACCTCGACAGAGCCACAAGCGCGGTCTTAGATTAGGCTGGCCGAAAAGCCTCCAATGGAGGGAGAGAGGGCGAGCGTCTTGAGGGTAAAGGGATGGAGTTTCTAACAGAATTTTTTTACAAACTGCTAATCGGCAACACGAAGGCATCCGAAACTCTTCCAAAAGACCATCGGCTTGCTGAAATGTTTATTTAAACCAATAATGAAAAATAATATGTGGTAGGGCATGATTGACGCGTCAGCTGTCTCCTCGGACCAGAAGGACGGGGGGTGAGGCCAAAATTAGTGTTCGTCACCCGGCCGACGATGGATATTTGAGGCTGCAACGAGGAAGAACGTCAAAATTATGACGAAAAAATAGTTACTGAAATAAAACGAGTAGATGGTTAAGGAAGGCCATGTTAGGTGCCAGCCGGGCAACGAAGCTGACGAGTAGCTACATCTAAATAACAGGGCATGTCCCTCCGAGAGACGCAAAGTCCATATCAGACCAGAGCAACGCCTTAAAAACGTGGTTACGCAAGTAACTCAGTTGTGTCAGTCTTCCAAGTCTACTCCGGCCGATATGCCAAGGCTGGGTTGAGAGCGGATTCGGACCCCTTCCCCTCTGTGGTCGTTAATGTGGATGGGACTGTCAAGTTTTCCACTATCACTCCTAACCAAATGCCAAACGGGAGAGTATTTCATACCACGAATACATGAAAACAGAACTAAAGCGTCTATAGTGTGTGAGCCACTTCCAGCCTAGGGCTGAACAGAATCAGTTGACCGGCGGTGAATAAGACTCACGTTGCGCAACACCTGTGTTGGCCTTCGTCAGTGGGAGTACTGGAGAAACCACGGTTCCCGGCGGATTGCCCGACTGCACCCGTATGAGGGAGGCAGGCGCAGCTACGGGGGCTATTACGTGCAGACCGCTCGAAGTACCACCGACTGTAGTTGTGATGTCCGCTTCAGCTGCGGGTATGAGGTTTGGTAAGTGGCCTGGGGCTGCACTGGCAACACGAAACACCGTGACCCCAGACCCAGTTCCAGGCAGTGTAATTCGAGAGGCCACCTGACCAGTCGAGGCAGCAGAAGACTGGGTGAACTGGTGAGGGCAGACGGAGAAAGGGGCAACAACAACAAAAGGGGTCGATAAGGAAATCAATAGAGGCCCAATAAAGGATGGAATGAGTACTGAAAAGGGGGCGAGTCCACTGGAGAGGTCGATGGTGACCTGTCCATAGTCCTTACACACTCCGTTGTGAACTCCACCTACGCTTCAGGTACTTCCTGACAGAAAGCTGCTGATTAAGGGATGGGCTAAATTGGAGCTGGCGTTAGTTGAACATACAGCAAAAATATTAGCAGGAGTGGGTACGTTGGAAAAGATTTTTTATAAATAAGTCGGAAGACAGACCATACATGATTAATAAGGCCAGTAAAAGCCAAGGGACAAAAGACAACAAGCCCTGGTGTAAAACGACGGGTTGGTCCGATGGACCGTAAAATACCCATCAAATGTAAGCGGCTATAACTAAAGCTCAGTTATGCAGAGGGCGAGCTATGCCCAAGGGCTTTTTAGAAAGTACCTGACAGATGTTAACAAGACGTAAATAATAACAATCGGATGTAGGAATATATGCTGGAGGAAAAATCCACCCTTAAGTTATTTGTACAGGGACTACTGATTTCTAGACTATTAATACATGGCCTAAGGTCAGGGGTACAGAAAATCAACCCAGCAGTTTTAATTGTAAAAAAGGCAAAGGAAACTCACGCCATTATCCACGGACGAGGGTGAAGAAGTTGTGATGGTGAAATTTGGTGCTGTCAAAGTGTACTTTTCAGGACCCAATCGGATGCCATGTCCTGGTTTTATTGGAGGAAGTGGCTGACTGTTAACCTTCTCAGCATATTCCAAAAGTTGTTCACGATGCAGGGGAGTTAAGATGAGCTGTTCGGCTTTCGAGTCCACAGCCAGTCTAACATCAGACTCGGTTATTTTTGATCGTCCAGAATAGTTGGCAAGGGCTCTTGCTTCTGTCAGTATTTCTCCAGTATATTCTACGCATGAATTGGGCATTAAGTATTTTACTGTAAATTATATCCAAAACTCGCAGGCAGACATCATCACATACACCAGTAAGGTTGAAATCTTCGAAGATTGACTTTATTACAGCAAAGGGCGACGTCTGGGACTCGTTCTGTCTCTCAGAATCGGTCATCCCAGTGAAAAGACGTAACATATATATATCCCAGTGTGGTTCAAGTAATGAGGTCTAGCTTTCCTAAAACAAATAATGACAGATTAGCCGAAAAACGTAGAAATAAGCAGGATACTGGATAAGGTGACACGCGCAGAGAAGTAAATAGGACAACACGCTATGGTTTGAAAATATACTCAGACAGTGGGGAAAGCCATAGGAAAAGGAGGGTCAAAATGGTAAAAGAACGTAAAGTGTCAGTTAACCATCCAATCAGTGTAAGTGGAGTAAATGATAGAAGCCCTTGAAAACTCTATTTAAACGACACAGGTCTGTATGAAAAGCAGTACAGTTGCAAATATTTACAGGTAATTTCGGTATGCAAGATGAGTAGGACTCATAGTGAAACAGGAATGCTAAAAAGGCGGAAGATTTGCCAAATGATAGCGAACAACACATTCACTGCACTTGCACGAAATACGTCCAGCAGCGTCAAAGTTAATAAAAACAAAATGGGTTGCTGAAATCAAGATAGTAGCCTAGTCGGCATAAGTGTCTCATCAGGTGGAGTTTCGGCTGACTTTTAACGGATGAGTATCCGGACGCCTCCTAAACACACTCGTGGTGGGGGGATGCACAACATACGTCGACGAAGGCTTCTGCGAGAAAACAGGCGTTGAATGGTGTGGCACAGTCCCCCTTTATGTCGGCAATCGTGTATTCTGAGATTCGCCTACGGTGCCGTTTCAAAAGGATCTTCTCGTCCACATCAATATCAAGTCCAGTTAGCAACTGAGAAGTTATTAAAAGGTCACCCTCTCCTGTCTACAGTGGCGGATGTAGAGGTTTAATGCGGTCAAGCGTTGCTCGTACATCAAATTTTTGAGTCCAGGAAGAACCATAGTGGCACGCTATATTGCGCCTTCAACAATACTTGTGTCTTTCCGAAGTCACGGCAGCCCAGCCTGCACCGCATATTCCAGGTGCAGCCGTGCAATGCTTCATATACATTATTGAAGATATCAGCATCCGGGTTTAAAAACGATCCGCGTATCGCACACGTAGTTGACACTGTCCGCATTAGGACTTTGGAACATGCGTCGTTATGCTTAGATCGTCCTTAACGAATACTCCAAGATAAATTATGTCGTTTGTGAAGAAGTGTATTTATGGCAATCAAATTGCATAAACCGAAATTACAGTGAGTGACCGATCTCATGAAATGTTGCCCAAAATTCTGAAATACCTTTTCGATTAGGAAGGATTACTTGGGTGGAGTTGTAATATTGATTATCCCGCGCATAATCCTATAGTATGTCGGACTCGGCAGGATCTCGGCTCTTGAATACACTTCTTTTCAGTTTCCTGTAGAAACCGTACTCGGTAAAAATGACTACTTATGTAGCACGCACTTTTCCCATTGATTTTCGATAGTCTTGCAAATTCAAATATATTTTGGAGAAACCACGAACAAAAATATGCTTTTTTCTGTCGTTTGATAGAGAATCACGTCATCTTTTTATGTTATACTCGAAAAAGGAGTATAATTAGGTTTTTAAAAAGTTTTCTAATTCCCGAATAATTTGGAGCATGATCAGTCGTTGCATTAGCGCTTAGTGATTTCAGTCTACAAGGTGCATGCGTTCCGCGTAAGGAAAATCACATATTCTTTTATGCCTTTAAAAGGATACCATATAGAGTCCATAAAATTTCGCAATGGATGCGGACTATGTTGTACATTTCATAAGGAGCAGTGGTAAACGGACAGGTACGATGCTGCATGAATGGACATTGAGCGGTCTTAAAAATCTCATAATTAGAAACTTTTTAAAACCTAATTATACTCATTCTTCGAGCATAAAATGAAAAAGATGACGTGAATCTCTAGCAAGCGACTGGAAGAAAGCATATTTTTGTTCGTGGTTTCTATAAAATATATTTCAATTCGCAAGATCACCGAAAATCAATGGGAAAATGCATGCTACTTAAGTAGTCATTTTTACCGTGTACGGTTTCTGCAGGAGATTGAAAAGCAATGCATTCAAAAGCTGGCATTCTGCCGAATTTGCAATATTATACGTTTATACCGCAAGATAATCAGCATTACAACCGCGTCTAAATAATCCTTCTTAATGGAGAACGCATTTCAGAATTTTGGGCAACATTTTATGAGATCGGTCACATTGTAAATTGGTGATTCATCACAAATATATTTATGATTCCCGTAAAGACACAGCACGGCAAGGACCTCTTGATAGGCAGGAGACATCATTCTGCTCATCTCAGCTGATGACCACAATAAGAAGCTTGAATAGCCAAAGCTAAGTTTACACTAGAATAATAAAGATTGTAGTACGTTCTCGAGAGGATAGTTGTTGATTTAAATGAGAACGATAAGCTGCAGACACATAAGCGACGGCACCGATCAAAACCGTTCTTTTTAGCATTCGAAATAAGATGAAAAGTGAGGTCAGGGGACGAAGGAAACATGCGTGGACGTTACATTTTAGAGATATACTACGAATGAAATAATACGAGCTGAAACACTTCCGAAAAACGAGCGTTTTAGCCTTGCCGAAATATTGTCAAAATTCCCTACTAAAGTGAAATAAGCGATCAAGGATTGCGTCATCCCGAGGCATTAAAGACACCCGCATGAGAAATAAAGAAATGGAATATTGAACGTGAAAATCAAAATACTAGAAAAACCGTCTACAGCCTAATAAAGGTTTAAATTGGTTTTCATGTCAATTCATTCGGAGTTGAGGCTGAATTTTTGGTAATGATGAATTACTCTTGGTGTTTCGACGATAGCGTGGGATTGACTAGACTGAAAATGTCCACCAATTCCTACCTCTTGGCTTCGATTTTGAGGTTGGCCATCATTTAAAATAATAGCATGAAAACTGACGCCTGTCCAAAGGGGGTTCTTGTAACGTTAAAAAGGTCAGCTGACAAGTAGCACTTTGAGGCTAAAAGCACGCTAAGCAGTTTTTTTCCAATTCGTAGGTCGGTTTGAAATCTCTCCTAATGCTTACAATATGCCACAAAAGTAGACGACATTCTAAGACTACAATAACAATATTATTCAACTACTGACTCAAGGTTCGGACTCTGCGAAGATGAGACCTCAGTGTGGCCAGGCTTCCACTCCGAGTAGCAAACATCGCCTGTTTGGATAAGATATTCCTGCGACTGAAGTCCGTAATTGCATTTATAGTCACACACAGTTCTGTGGCAAAGTTTCCATTCCTATATCCTCTGACTAACTGAAAGGATTAACTTCATCTGCAACACTAACGTACACTTTAAAAACCTGGTTGGTAAAGATCTTAATTCCAGTAAGTGTCCCTTTAAGCGCCGGGCCAATTAGTATTAAATACATAGATAGGGGGATTTTGGGATAAACTTTCACATTATGGGAGTATCTTGAGTTGTTTCTTTAAAATAAATTGATTGGTCCCACTACAGGTGTTAAAGAGTGTGTGACTTACGAGCATTCAAAGTGAAGTCAAGGTGGTCATTTTTGCTACTGGAGCACTTAACATGATGTACGCGGTTGAAATTACTACAGTAAGAAGCATTTGTTCGCATGACAGACGGAGCAGGCACCAATTTACAGGCGCGTCTATACTAGTGCAGGAAACCGATGTCCTGATATAGTCGTTGAGTGAAAAGTCGGAAAGAGTACGAAGAGACGCGGCAGCTAGACAGCATTACAAAAAACGATCTGCTTCGCCAAGTTAAGCCATCTTGTTCCTTGGGTTCGTCGCCCAATAAACAAAAAATGATATTCCAAAACTCATGGATTCTGGCAAAATGACGATTACTTTTTAAACGGTAATGATATAAGCGGTAGAAAAACTGAAGATGGCGGTTCTTAACACATCGTATGATTAATAAGAGGCTATCCTTAGATAAGCATACACATGGGTCCACAGAGATGTAAGAGTGCCAATGTGTAGAGAAATTTGCAGGGAACATGGGCAAATGGGAAAATTCCTGGATATGTTAGTTCTTCTCTGCCAGAAATGATTTAGGCATGCTGGAGAAACCCAATGAGTTCATATCACAGCAAAATTGCAGCCTTGGCGAGGGAAGTTTGTCTTTTTAGATGGTGTTCTGGACTTAACTTCCCAATAAAGCCTATGAGTTCAGTTCCTCGGCACCGGACCTTCCGAAACTCCCATTTCTCAGACGAGTCATAAAGACTAATGACAAACAGCACTTAACGCGGTCCGAAAAATCTACGTATACTAAACAAAGAATTTGCAGAACATCGGCGGGTATGGCGACGCCCTGTGCGCGAGCGAACCGAGTTTGAAAAAATTTTTTTGCTGTCAAGGTCGATATTAGAAGAACGAGGTAGGCGGGAGAGTCCGCTTTGTTAAGTGACGAAGTTCAGAGGTGCATCTCCAAGTTTAAAGCGAGACCATTTGCGGGCGAATGAGACTTCTGCGACGTAACTGTAGGTATACCTCGCATAAGTCTAATCTCCACGTCTATATGAAACTTATCCAAATCTACTTGGATACGAGCATGAACCCAAGCCCAGTCTAGAATTCTAAAATCATAGGATACATGAGGCAGTTAATACATTTCCGGCGGGCCGTTTGCATGAAAAGGAATAAACACCAGTTTGGGCTGGCAACGTAGGCGGCGCGACATCTCCGAGGCGTAAGCGGAAAGTCCTATTCGCGAGGAGGCTCCTTCTTCAGTTGTTTGTGTTCCCAGCTAGACCATAACCATAAGACATTTCTATAAGCAGTCGGTAGTGGACCGTTTCGGAAGCCTTAAAGAGGTCTACTAAATTCATCGAAGTCACTCGCAAGAACAGTTCTGAGCATTAACTTTACGAGTGTATAAACGGATCCAACCGGTTTCACAGCAGACAAAGGTGAGAAAAAACATGGACGGATACAATGAAAAGTGATCGACATGTGATACGATGTAATTTCTGGGAGCTCTGGGGATCCGGCTTTCGGTACTTCGCCTGTCATAAAGCAGTATTAAGGTACGCTGTGTTATCAGATGAACTGTCTTCTTCGCTAGTCGTGAGCAGACGGGTTCTTTTGTTAGCCATCGTAACGTTCGGTAGTACGTAAATCCAACAAGGAGAATGCCAATTCGATAAGCAATTAAGACATATAAAATCAATGCTTCCGACACCTGCAGTTCCTACCTGTCAAGCTCACTGGTGTCTACCGTCGCGATTAGGGTACGATAGGACTGAAAGCTGCCACTGGGGAAGGGAACGATTCTTCACACACTGGCACTGAGGGAAAACTATAATCCTCCCAATTCAACCATCTCCGAATCACAACAGTAAATGCTAGTGAACATCTCGACAGATGAGGACTGCAGATGTAGGAACTATTGATTGTACACGTCTTGATAAATTGTTTGCCAATTTGACATATGCAAACAATGGGAATATTCCCCTTGTCGAATTTACGTACTATCGGACGAAAGAACCGATACGCATGGGACTAGCGACGAAGCCGTCTGGGCGGACTTTAAGACAGTTGTCCCGCCTGATCTCTATATTATCATCAGTTCAAAAAATACGTAATGTCGCCCATAGAATACCAATTTCGAAATTTATGGCACACTTATTGTCCTTGTCAGCACTCATTTGCTAATTTTTAGACCGACGTTCATACCTATGTTTATCGCTCCACAGGCGACCGCAGATAGGACCGTTCAGTACCGGTCATGGCATAATTTTACGCCTAAGGCTCTTCGAAAGAAGTTCAACAGCTTATTGAACATATTAATATGTTAATATTAAGGAACAATATCTACTGCAGGACTGTCTCCTTTCTTATTCTTCTACATATTACATAATTGTAAGGTAGAATCATTTTTGTTGCAATGATTTATTTCCGTTTTTTGTGTTTACTTACCATAAGTAGTTAGATTTTGTAGAAATATTCTGGATCCGCAAAACTACTCCCTCAGAAATTTAAAAATAGTGGGCTGACTTCGCGTTCAGTAAAACAATCAGGCTTCCTGAGATCGAAAACAATTAAAATAGTTTTAGCGTTCAGTCTGAGGATACTTTTAGTTATATAACCTGCGGGTGAATTAAGTATCTTAGAGACCGTGGGGTAAGAAGTTAGGGACAATGCCGGACACTAATTGTATTTCGTTGGAGCCTCATGGGAGAGTGAAGTAGGCGGACCGTCCTTGGGCTTCAGTGGGGAGGCTGGTTCCTGGCTTACGTCGACTCGCTCGATAGAAGGAGATGGGGATGGGGCCGTCTTCACCTTTCCTGAACGGTTGGGCTTAGATTTCGTCATCAGGCGATCAGACAAGGTCTCAATGCACAGACGTTATCCGAACAGTCGAAAAAGATGTAACAGGTAAACGATATGTTGGGAAAAGGGGAGCAGTACGAAAACGAGAGGACAAGGGAGGTGAAAACGTGGAATGTCTCAAGAGGTAAAAGAGGGAAGCGGAAACACTCGCTGATCAGGGAGGTGATTTCGGCGGTACGATATCCACGGGGTCCTGGGTGTTTCCTTGCGGACATTCGCTGTCCTCACCTGAAATACCAGAGGTAAGACGCACTCAAAACACGCCACGAAACCTCCCGCATCCTTCTTTCCCGCTCGCCCGTTTTTTCTCTCTATTAAACAAACTTGCCTTTCCGGTTCTTACATACCCCCCTCCTCAGATGGAGCCCTGTCCGCAGGGCTGTCTGTTTGGGTCATGTCCACTGTTTCTTCAACCACTGAGGTGGGCACTAAATGTGGGGGAATGATGAGGGTTACGTCCGCGGTGGCGGTGGGTAGCCGTCCTCTGTAAGATTTTAGCTTGTCGAAATGGGTGGTGAAGGTGGGTCCATCGGGGCGTGAAGCGTCACGCAATACATACGTGGTGGGGTGTATGACGTCGACAACAACGAATGGTCCTTCCCACGGGTGAAAGAACTTTGCCGCCGTTTCTAAGAGCGGTACCGGTTGGAAACGCCAAACCAGATCGCCTAATTGGTAGGGGTTGCCGTGGACCTGACGGTCAAAGTATGTTTTCTGTCGTTCGGCGGCCGCTACTAGGTGGTTACGTGCGAGGGTGTAAGTGGAGCGTAGCAAATCCTGCAGCTGCCATACGTAGCTATCTGGTGCGTATTCGTTGGCGGCGGGTTGTGGGAACCGTGAATCTGCGGGAAGGCGAAATTTGAGTCCTGTTAGCATAAAGAAAGGTGGGTAGCCCGTTGACGTGTGTGTGTTAGCACGGTACGCCATCATGGCACACGGTAGTCGTTTATCCCCGTATCGGGGATGATGGTCTTCCGCGAACGCCTTCAACAGTTGATTCAGGGTACGATTAGTTCGTTCCACCCATCCGTTGCCTTCGGGATGTGCTGGGGTGATGCGGGTCTTGTATATATCGAGGAGGTCACAGACCTCTTGCAGCAGTTTGCTATCGAAGTTAGCCCCGCAGTCGGAATGTATCGTCAACGGAACACCGAACCGGCAAATCCAGTTGTTAAAGATTGCGTTGGTGAGCGACACTGCGTCTTGGCGTAATAGCGGCACAGCCTCTGCCCATTTGGTGAAATAATCCATCATCACCAGTATGAACCGATGACCGGTTGTCGTAAAGGGGAGGGGGCCGATGATGTCCAGGCCCAGCCGCTGGAACGGAAAGCTAGTGTGCATGGGTTGCAACGGTGCACGTGGGAGTTGTCTAGGTGCTTTGAACTTAGCGCACGTGGTGCATGTATTGCAGAAGGTGGCGACGTGTTCTCGTAGGTGGGGCCACCAAAATCGTTGCCGAGTGGCTGCTTCTGTCTTGGCTTGCCCGACGTGGCCTAACTCGTTGTGTAGATCCGTGAGGACCACGTGTACGAGGCTGCCTGGTACTACTACTCTGTCGGCTTTTGTGCTCTCGTCCTTAATGAGAAGGATACCTTCGTCGATATGCAGCCGTGGCCATTGGCTCCGCAGTACATGTGCTTCTTCTGACGACCCCCGCAATTCATCGTCCGTAGGACGGTGTCGCCGGTTTAACAGGTGGTCGTAAACTACTGCGGTATCCGGGTCTGTGCTCTGTGCTATTGCCCAATGGTGTCTAGCTGGTTCGCTGGCGTAAATGGCGTTTATTTCGCCTATCGCGCGGTCTTCATCGTGTGTGGCTGGCGTTGTTGGCCGTCGAGACAAGGCGTCGGCGTTGCCGTGTTGTTTCCCGGGACGGTATGTACAAGTGAAATGATATTCCTGTAACATTTCCTGCCAGCGAGCAAGTTGACCCTCTGCGTCCTTCGTGTTTTGTAGCCATTGCAGAGCTTTATGATCGGAGCGTATGAAGAACGGCTTTCCTAGCAGATATGGCCGAAATTGTTTGACGAAGGTGACTATGGCCAACAATTCACGTCGATATGTGCAGTAATTTCGTTGTGGTTTGGTGAGTGTTTTACTAGCGAAACAGATAACGCGTTCTAGGCCGTTATCGTCGGTTTGCGAATGTACACCTCCCATGGCGAAGGCACTAGCGTCCGTGTCCAGTACGAAGGGTGGCGCCGTCTCGGTGGTGTTGGGGAGCATAAGTATCGGTGCTCTCGACAGGCGGGTTCTCAGCTCATCAAACGCGGCCTGGCATTCGTCCGTCCAACGAAATTCGCGGCCTTTCTCTGTAAGTCGGTGTAACGGACGCGCGATACCTGCAAAATCGCGGATAAACCGTCTGTAATAGGACGCCAACCCGATAAAACTTCTGACTTCCGTGGTGGAGTTTGGCGTCGGCCAAGTGAGAATAGCTCCCGCCTTTTCGGCTGAGACTTTGATACCCGACGGGCTGACTTCGTGTCCTAGGTAATAAACCTTCTCTCGCAGGAATTGACACTTCTGTGGATTAAGCGTAAGGCCTGCCTCGCGTAACGCTAGGAGCACGGCGCATAGATTATCGTTATGTTGTGCGATAGTTTTGCCGAAGACAATAACGTCGTCAAAATAGATGAGGCACTGGCGCGGATAGAGGTGTGACAACACTACCTGCATCAGCCGTTGGAATGTGGCAGCCGCGTTACAGAGGCCGAAAGGCATCGTTTCGAATTCGTACAATCCTTGTGGTAGGATGAACGCCGTTTTTTGGCGGTCTGCCGGTCCTACTTCCACTTGCCAATAGCCGGACTTCAGGTGCAAAGTGGAGAACCATCGGGACCCAGCTAAGGCATCAAGAGTACACTCGATACGTGGTAGAGGGAACGAATCTCGTGTGGTTACTGCGTTCAAGCGTCTGTAGTCGATACAGAAACGTATTTTGCCGTCCTTCTTTGGAACTAAAGTTACTGGCGATGCCCAAGGCGAACGGGAGGGTTTAATCACCCTCGTCGCCAACATACTATCTAATAGCGTGTCAACCTCCTTCTGCAAATGGGCTGGGATGCGCCGTGGCGGTTGCCAAATAGGTTTCGCTGTGCCGGTTTCAATAGCATGTCGTATACAACTGGTTCTGCCCAGAGTGTACTCGTCCCACGCAAAGACATCGTGAAACCCAAGTAACATCCGTTTGAGTGTCTCCGTCTCTATTTCGGCCCGGTCTGTCGTGGGTAATATATCGTCAATGGACGTCGGGGGAATTTGAACTGCCGCTTGGATTGCGGCACAGGCAGCCGTTTCGCCTACGACCTGGGGCTCGGACGGGCCCTCCGCGTCGGTATGTCGGAATTCAACTCGCCTATTCCGTACATCAATGTGGCATTCGTAACGCGCGAGGAAATCAGTCCCGAGGAGTATGTCCCACGTAAGGTGGGGTGTTATGATAAAGCTATGTTCAGCTGTGAAATAGGGAGCGTCAAGGTGAGCGGCACGGTCCCGTGGTGTATTAAGCGTGATCCGTCGGCCGTGGTCAATCTCCCTGGGTGGGGAATGTCCTTACGCTGGTGGTGGATACCTGGTTGTCAGACCCGCTGGTTAACTAGGGATACCGTCGCTCCCGTATCAATCAACGCCCGTACAGTCTGACCAGCTACGGTTACTGTGGCATAAAAAGGGGTAACTGATAAAGTTGAGCTGGTGCAAGAAGTAATAGAGACCGTACCCGTTGTCCTCTGACACGTGCAGATATGGTTGTTGTGAAACATTTGTCCACCTGGCCGGCGGAACGGTTGTCCTCGATGATTGAAGGGTGGCCGTGTTTGGCCTCTGAAACGTCGTGGGGGATAGAAGGTACTTCGTCCCGCGGACGTAGATTGGGCATCTCGAGCGTGTGCGTCTTCAGGGGGAAGGGGACGGGAGGTTGAAGGGCACAATCGCAGGTAGCGTTCGGCCCTGGTGACGGCCTGTTGTAAATTGTCCGGCGGCTGCAACAATAGCGAGCGTGAAAGGTCGGATGCCGGCAGTGCTTTAATGAAATAATAAAGTACTGTGTTGTCTTTATCTTCGGAGCCCAAAGAGGGTAACGCCACAGTCGTCAGGCGTTCTAGATCCTCCACCAGCTGGGTAAGGCTTTCATCTTGGTTCAATCTCCGTTGTTGTAACTGTTCCATTGCGTCACCGAAGGAGTACGTATGGCTGAACAGGTTGGCCAAGCGTTGGCAAAGTGTGTCAAAGGGTAGGTCGGCGTCGAGACCAGCGTCGAGCGCTTTATCCAACTGTTTAGGCGCGAGGGCCTTGAGTAATGTCCAGGGCCGGTCGGCCTCTGAGTTCTCCCGCAAATAGAATTTTGCGCGTCTGAGCCAAACTGTAAAAGACTCGGTACCATCGTAAGGTGGTATGTCGACGGTGCGCATTGTGTTTATTTCGTTGCCAGACATGTTCAGGGGTTGTGGGCACGGTCGTTGCGCTGCCACCACTGTAGTAGGCGGACCGTCCTTGGGCTTCAGTGGGGAGGCTGGTTCCTGGCTTACGTCGACTCGCTCGATAGAAGGAGATGGGGATGGGGCCGTCTTCACCTTTCCTGAACGGTTGGGCTTAGATTTCGTCATCAGGCGATCAGACAAGGTCTCAATGCACAGACGTTATCCGAACAGTCGAAAAAGATGTAACAGGTAAACGATATGTTGGGAAAAGGGGAGCAGTACGAAAACGAGAGGACAAGGGAGGTGAAAACGTGGAATGTCTCAAGAGGTAAAAGAGGGAAGCGGAAACACTCGCTGATCAGGGAGGTGATTTCGGCGGTACGATATCCACGGGGTCCTGGGTGTTTCCTTGCGGACATTCGCTGTCCTCACCTGAAATACCAGAGGTAAGACGCACTCAAAACACGCCACGAAACCTCCCGCATCCTTCTTTCCCGCTCGCCCGTTTTTTCTCTCTATTAAACAAACTTGCCATTCCGGTTCTTACAAGAGAATTCAGTTTCAAACGCTAGGACGCAAAATATTCGTCATTCCACAGATGTCCGATTAATAAAGCGTCTTTTTACAGTCGTCCTCAGTGCCAAAAAGCTTAATCCAGAAATGGAGTTTTAAGCAAAATCTACAAATGTTTGCTGAGTCTGTTGCCCAGAAAAAATGTCCCTTGCAAAAACCATTTCCTTGCCTGCAAATGCGCGAAAAGTCTCAAAAACAAAAATAAATCAGAAACTCCCTTTTGTTTCTTTTCTGACTTGCACTAAGCAAACAAAATACAATGCTGATATTTTGTGCTCTGTTCGACAGGCAACAATATGTTATTGGCTCAGCTGCACTGCAGAAGTTATGCCGAAGGTCACTTATGGCCTAGTGGTCTTACCTCAGTTCATTTTAAAAACAAACAAAGCAAACACCGATTCATTCCCTTCTTAATTTTCTTGTGTATATGTCTGAAAACAGGGAGGCGATATAATCCATCAGGCGTATCTTTAGCTAGACCCACTTTTCTGTATGTTCCGTTCATTCCAGTTCAGATTATTGAGAGGAATGGGCCTGGGCCATTGAATACCCTGTTCGCAACGTGAAGTTGGATGTAGAGAACAGACAGGCCATGTGGGCCGACGCCCTCATGTTCGCAGACGACATGAAAATATGGATGGAAGTCAAGTGCGATGATGGCGCAAAGAAGTTGCTGTCAAACATAGACAAACTGTGTGTTTGGTCAATCAGATGGCTTTTGAAGTTTAACGTGTCCAAATGCTTGGTCTTGCACTTGAACACCGGCTGACGTGCCTCTTCCAAGCACCAGTACTATGTTAACGGGACGGCGTTAGAAACTGTAGAAAGACTCAGAGATCTGGGTGTATGGACGACCACAAATCTAATGCCATCAGAACACTGTAGAAAGATGGTCAAGAAGGCACCTAGTACTTTACACTGGATTAGACGTGCATTTAAAATGTTCCCTCCCGAACTCTTCGAAGGACTTTTTGGTGTCTTTTTCAGACCCCTCTGGAGTATGGAATGCCAGCAGCTTCATTATGTATGAGGAAGGATATTGACTCACTTGAACAGGTGCAACACAGAGAAAAAGGAAGGTGGTCGACGGTGTAAAACATTTGTCTTATCAAGAGCGGCTGAATGTGCTTACTTTATTTCCTCTCTCTTATAGGCAGCTAAATTGCAGTCTTCTCTGGAAAGCCCGGATTGTCCGTGGCCAAGGTTTCTCAATAAGAACGGAGAACTTTTTGAGTTTGCCCGTACTAACCAATTACGCTGTCATACTTACGAAGTCAAGAGTGAACGCACACGGTTAGACCGTAGGAAGTTTCTATTCAGCCAGCGGGTTATCCGACTATGGAACACGATTCGCACGTTTAAAAGAAAGCTTTCACGCTTGATTTTCGACAGAAACCGGCTTTTATAATACGACTACTAACAGCCAGCTCTGTAAAACACTTTGTCCTACACAATCTTTCCTTACTGACTTACAATGAACAGATTCGCTTCCTTATCATTACGATCGTACTATGATCCGATCACATTGTAAATGTCTGCAAAGTTATTTTGGGTGCGAATCTGCGAAAGCATTCTGCTTAAATAGGGTCATCAAGGTCTCTTCCCCTAACCCTTCAAATACATACACACATGCATACGTACATACATACATACATACATACATATATACATACATACATACATACATACATACATACATACATACATACAGGCGATATGTTATTACCGACAAAGACAAGGGAGACTGGAATGACCATTTCTGGCTTATTAGGCGTCGTTAGCCAGTCATACACAACCCTGAAGTGTAGAACTCCCGAGGATCGAACTCGCGATCTGTTAGTTAGAAGTCCACGTCTATATCATGCGCCGCTGTGCGGCTGCTGGTTGGGCTCGAGAGAGATCCCGTAAGGCACAACGGAACGAGTGAGTTCCGTAAGAACGATCGTTGAGCGCTCCTTACCATCATACATGACAGTTCGACCGTCGATTTCGACGATGTCCACCGTGTGCCCCACAGCTGCAGCAGCGGCGGGAGCAGGGACGGTGACTTGCGCAGGGGTTTATAGTGCGGGTAGACTTGCGCTGCAGCTACCTACACTCTCTCCTCCTCCCCCGCCTGGGCCCGGTGTCAAGACAGAGTCAAGAAGACCGGAGACGAGGGAGGCCGCAGGTGGATGGCTCGGACGGATCCTCACCTTGGCGTTCAACCACACCCCCTGGTCCACACAACAATAACCAGGATTTTCACCAACACAACAGAGATTTGGAGGCTGGCACGGCCGAAGCCGCACCTGGGCGTGCCGCCAACGCCTGGCTCGGATCCCACACTGTGGTGAGAGTGCCATAAAGGCCACATTAAAAAGGAGCCATTGCAGCCTGACTCTCAGACCGCCTCCCGTGAAGGAGGAGGTCCAAGGTACCCCGTCAGTTGGCACGCAGTTCGTCACGTTGTGTGTGTGTGTGTGTGTTGTGTGGAGTGGCGGATTGGTGGGCTGGGGACGGGCTGCAACAGCACCTTCCACGGCACTCTCACGCAAGTGAGAGACACGCCGTTCAATCACCGTTGTGTGAAATCCTGGTGTTTGTGTGTATGGGGGGCCAGGTCGTGCTGTGGCGCGCGCAGGCATGGTCAGTCGACCATGTCAGCCACCGCGCCCATTCCCCACTCCAGTCTACTGACCGGCTCGGACAGTGGCTGGGGTGTGGGAATGGGAAGGGAGAGTGAGGTCGACGACTCAGCGCACTTTCTCCTCACTATAAACAATCTGACGCGCTTGAAGCTATCACGGTGCGCTAAAAGCCGTGGCTTGCCAACCATCATACATACATACATACATACATACATACATACATACATACATACATACATACATACATACATACATACATACAATTGAAACCGATCCCATAAAAGTGCGAAAAATGGACGTGAATTTCAAGATTTAACCTCGATCTCTCATGACACTTCCACACTTAGGAACGGCAAATTTACATTAGGAGCTATTATTATTAGCTTTATTATTATTGTATATCTACCAAGATTTCTTTTAATGCCTTCCACTGATGGTGACATCACAACATCCACTGAGAGGGCGTTTCATTATTTGACCACTATGAGAATGAGAACTTCCCCACATCCAGTCTTGCCTGCCGAATGTGTAGTTTTAATGAGTGATCTCAGGGATTGGCGGTGGTGGCAAATTCAAAGAAGTCGTCAAAGTCTCAAGCCCAATGCAAGCTCTTCACAATGCGAAATGCTTGTAAGAAGCCGCCGCATAGTCTTCCATAACTCGAAGGAAAGAGGTTCAGATTTGCTAGGCGGGTTGAATGAGGAGGGAGCTCTGATCCCTAACTATTTTAGTGGCTCTTATTTGAGCGCTTTCAAAACTATTTTGATTTTAAACCACCCATGCTCTCCTGGCTTGTATGCCGTATTTCAAATATGGTCTCAAGAGCGTACCAAAGTTTTTGCAGAAGGCGTCTTTGTCAAAATTCATAAATGCATGCTGGTGGCGTGGAACACGTATTTTGTGCTTTTAACGACTTTCGAGCAACGAGCGGATGATTGTACGGGGTTCTTCGTCAGAACGACAAGGTCTTTTGGGCTTCCATGTCTCTTAAAGCTCCCCCGTTAAGAAAGCAGTTACTTTTGCTGGTGGATATGGCTGGGTTGCCTAGACGAAGTAAAGTACACTTTTTGACGTTGAACCGCAGGAGCCAGAGATCTGACCGATCCTCCAACATAGTTCAGTTCGTCTGTAGCCTGTCTTCGTCGTTAGGCCCCCGGATTATTATCCATATTTGAGTGTCTTCAGAGAACATTGTTAATTCGCGGTCAAAAGCTCTTGCATCATAGTGTACGTATGTTAGGAACAAAATGTGTTCCAGTACTAGACCCTGGGAACGTCACGCTGAAGCGCAGCAGGATTCTTAACCTATGCCCAAAACCTGATGTCGACCCAAGAGGAAGTTTTGGATCCATTTGATGAAGTTGCCTCTAAACCCTAGTCTTTTCAGCTTATATGGCCTTTTATGGTGTGGCACAGTGTTGAAAGCCTTCTCGAAGTCAATGAAGACGATGTGGACCACATGCCTGTCGTCGAGAACTCGGGTACAGCTCAAGAGAGATTGCAGCAAGTTAGTCGTACAGGAACCTTCTTTCCGGACCCTTGCTGGCAGCTCGATCGAAGGCCGTGAACTCGCAGGAATTGCACCAACTCACTCCATGGAATCCTCTACATAACGTTGCAGGGAATGCGTGGCAAGCCTATGGCCCAGTAATTTGCCGTCGACGCACTCCTACTACCTTTGCACAGTGAAAAAATATGTGTCTGCTTCCAGTCCATAGGAGGCGTTCCGGTTTCAAATTGCGTTTGGAAGAGCATCGACAAAGGCACAGAAAGCTCATTGGTAAGTTCATTGTCAAGCTTGTTGGAATCTTTATGGACCCGGAGAGTCCGATTAGTTCAATGCCTCTTATTCTCTTCGAACAATAACCTCTGATAAATTTCTTTTACTTATTCCTGGAGTCGGCCATTCTTCTATAGAGGCAGAAAGGAACTTCGCCTCGTTTGTGTAAACCGACTGCAAAAATTTCGAATAATACGCAGTTT